AAGTCAACATCAGGCATGGAGATCTTGGGCGCCTTGATGTGCATCTCGGGCATCTTGAACTTTGGGCCCTTTACCTTCCCCTCTGGCCCTTCAATGTCCACCTCCGGACCTTCAATGTCCACCTTGGGACCAGAAACATCCAGGTTTCCTGTGGGCAGGTTGACGTCCACCTCTGGGCCTTCTGCTTTGAAGCCAGGCATCCCGAATTTGGGCATCTTGAACTTGGGCATTTTGAGTTTTCCTTCTGGGCCGTGAATGTCCACATCGGGTGCCTCAATGTCGACTTTGGGACCTTTGATGTCCACCTCGGGGCCCTTCAGGTCACCCTCCAGCTTGGGGACAGACACATCCACATCCCCCTTCACTTTGGGGCCCTTCAGATTGAAGTCGACGTCGGGCATGGAGAACTTGGGGGCCTTGATGTGCATGTCCGGCATCTTGAACTTGGGGCCCTTCAGCTTCCCCTCTGGCCCTTCCAGCTCAACGTCAGGAAGGTCAACATCGACCTTGGGGCCTTTGATATCAATTTCGGGGCCCTTCAGGTCACCCTCCAGCTTGGGAAGAGAAACATCCACATCCCCCTTCACTTTGGGGCCCTTCAGGTTCAAGTCAATGTCAGGCATGGAGATCTTGGGCGCCTTGATGTGCATCTCGGGCATCTTGAACTTGGGGCCCTTCACCTTCCCTTCAGGACCTTCCAGCTCAACATCGGGAAGGTCTACGTCCAGTTTAGGGCCTTTGATGTCAATGTCCGGCCCTGTCAAATCGCCCTCAATTTTTGGAAGGGCAACCTCCACATCCCCCTTCCCTTTGGGGCCTTTGAGGTTGAGATCAAAGTCGGGCATGGAGATCTTGGGGGCTTTGAAATGCATGTCGGGCATCTTAAATTTGGGACCCTTTACCTTTCCTTCTGGGCCCTCGATTTGAACATCTGGGGCACTAATATCCAACTCGGGACCTTTCACATCAACTTTCGGACCTTTCAGGTCACCTTCCACGCACGGCATAGACACATCCACATCCCCCTTCACTTTCGGGCCTTTCAGGTTCAAATCAAAGTCCGGCATAGAAATTTTAGGAGCCTTAAAATGCATCTCCGGCATCTTCAACTTGGGGCCTTTCAGTTTTCCTTCTGGTCCTTCAATCTCCACATCAGGAACATCTATGTCGACTTTGGGTCCTTTTATATCCACTTCGGGACCTTTCAGGTCACCTTCCAACTTGGGAACAGACACATCCACATCCCCCTTCACTTTGGGGCCCTTCAGGTTCAAGTCAATGTCAGGCATGGAGATCTTGGGCGCCTTGACGTGCATGTCCGGCATCTTGAACTTGGGGCCCTTCAACTTCCCCTCTGGCCCTTCAATGTCCACCTCCGGACCTTCAATGTCCACCTTGGGACCAGAAACATCCAGGTTTCCTGTGGGCAGGTTGACGTCCACCTCTGGGCCTTCTGCTTTGAAGCCAGGCATCCCGAATTTGGGCATCTTGAACTTGGGCATTTTGAGTTTACCCTCTGGGCCGTGAATGTCCACATCTGGCACATCGATGTCGACTTTGGGACCTCCAATATTGATGTCAGGAGCCTTCAAATCCCCTTCTAGCTTCGGAGCAGAAACATCTATGTCTCCTTTCAGCTTGGGACCTTTGAGGTTGAAGCTGGCCTCAGGCATGGAAATTTTGGGAGCTTTTATGTGCATCTCCGGCATTTTAAACTTGGGACCTTTCAGTTTTCCTTCCGGCCCTTCAATGTCCAGCTCAGGTGCATCGATGTCAACCTTCGGTCCTTTGATATTGACATCGGGCATGCTCAAGTCCCCTTCCAGTTTTGGCCCCGAAAGATCGATATCCACACCTCCTTTTGACTTGGGACCTTTTAAATTCAAATCAAAGTCCGGCATGGAGATGTTGGGAGCTTTGATATTCATTTCTGGCATTTTAAACTTGGGGCCCTTCAGTTTTCCTTTGGGACCTTCAATGTCAAGGTCAGGACCCTCGACATCCACTTTCGGTCCTTTCACTTGCAAATCTGAGCCCTTCAGATCCACCTGGGGAAGAGAGACGTCCACATCTGCCTTTGCTTTGGGACCTTTCAGGTTCAGGTCAATGTCGGGCATCGAGATTTTGGGTGCCTTGATGTTCATATCTGGCATCTTGAAGTGGGGGCCCTTCACCTTCCCCTCTGGCCCTTCAATTTCCAAACCAGCACCTTCCATATCCAACTTGGGACCCGAAACGTCCAGCTCTCCTTTCGGAATGCTGATGTCCACCTCTGGCCCCTCGGCTTTCAACCCAGACACACCGAATTTAGGCATTTTGAACTTGGGCATTTTGAGTTTACCCTCCGGCCCGTGAATGTCCACGTCGGGTGCCTCAATGTTGACTTTGGGACCCTTGATGTCCACCTCAGGACCTTTCAGTTCCCCTTCCACCTTGGGGCTGGGAACATCTAACTCGCCTTTGAGTTTATGCCCTTTCAGATTGAGCTCCACATCCGGCATCGAAACTTTGGGCGACGAAATACTCAAGAAAGGCATTTTAAATTTTGACCCTTTCGATTTTGCCTGTACATCCACATCTGGAGCGTGAACATCAACTTTCGGACCGGACATTTCAACGTCGGGTTTTTTAAGTTTCACGTCCACATCCGGGCTTTGCACTTTAGGACTAGAAAAGCCAAATTTTGGAAGTTTAAACCTGGACTTCTTAGTCTTTCCTTCAAGATCAAGCTTCGGTCCCTCAACCTCAAGTTCCGGCCCTTTGATATCTAGCTTAGGACCTTTCAGCTCGCCCTCAATTTTGGGAAGAGAAGGATCAATGTCAGCTTTCACTTTAGGCCCTTTCAAATTTAAGTCAATATCTGGCATGGAGATTTTGGGAACATTGAACTGAATCTCAGGCTTCTTAAATTTGGGGCCTTTAATTTTGCCTTCTGGGCTTTCAATGTCCACGTCGGGAACAGTCACATCAACCTTTGGACCTGAAATAGCAACATCGGCTTCTGGTAGATTTACATCAACCTCTGGGCCTTCTCCTTTCAGGCCGGACACCCCAAATTTGGGCATCTTGAACTTGGGTATTTTTATTTTACCTTCTGGGCCATGAATGTCCACATCAGGTGCCTCAATATCGACTTTGGGGCCTTGGATATGCACATCAGGACCCTTCAGGTCACCCTCCAGCTTAGGGACAGACACGTCCACGCCGCCCTTTACCTTGGGGCCCTTCAAATTGAAGTCAACATCAGGCATGGAGATCTTGGGCGCCTTGATGTGCATCTCGGGCATCTTGAACTTGGGGCCCTTCACCTTCCCTTCAGGACATTCAATGTCCACCTCCGGACCTTCAATATCCACCTTGGGACCAGAAACATCCAGGTTTCCTGTGGGCAGGTTCACGTCCACCTCTGGGCCCTCCGCTTTGAAGCCCGGCACCCCAAACTTGGGCATCTTGAACTTGGGTATTTTTATTTTACCTTCTGGGCCATGAATGTCCACATCAGGGGCCTCAATGTCGACTTTGGGACCTTTGATGTCCACCTCGGGGCCCTTCAGGGCACCCTCCAGCTTGGGGACAGACACGTCCACACCACCCTTCACTTTGGGGCCCTTCAGGTTCAAGTCAATGTCGGGCATGGAGATCTTGGGCGCCTTGAAGTGCATCTCGGGCATCTTAAATTTGGGACCCTCCAGAAACATCCAGGTTTCCTGTGGGCCGGTTCACGTCCACCTCTGGGCCTACTCCTTTCAGCCCCGGCATCCCGAATTTGGGCATCTTGAACTTGGGCATTTTGAATTTTCCCTCTGGGCCGTGAATGTCTACATCGGGTGCCTCAATGTCGACTTTGGGACCTTTGATGTCCACCTCGGGGCCCTTCAGGGCACCCTCCAGCTTGGGGACAGACACGTCCACACCACCCTTCACTTTGGGGCCCTTCAGGTTCAAGTCAATGTCGGGCATGGAGATCTTGGGCGCCTTGAAGTGCATCTCGGGCATCTTAAATTTGGGACCCTCCAGAAACATCCAGGTTTCCTGTGGGCCGGTTCACGTCCACCTCTGGGCCTACTCCTTTCAGCCCCGGCATCCCGAATTTGGGCATCTTGAACTTGGGCATTTTGAATTTTCCCTCTGGGCCGTGAATGTCTACATCGGGTGCCTCAATGTCGACTTTGGGACCTTTGATGTCCACCTCGGGGCCCTTCAGGGCACCCTCCAGCTTGGGGACAGACACGTCCACACCACCCTTCACTTTGGGGCCCTTCAGGTTCAAGTCAATGTCGGGCATGGAGATCTTGGGCGCCTTGAAGTGCATCTCGGGCATCTTAAATTTGGGACCCTCCAGAAACATCCAGGTTTCCTGTGGGCCGGTTCACGTCCACCTCTGGGCCTACTCCTTTCAGCCCCGGCATCCCGAATTTGGGCATCTTGAACTTGGGCATTTTGAATTTTCCCTCTGGGCCGTGAATGTCTACATCGGGTGCCTCAATGTCGACTTTGGGACCTTTGATGTCCACCTCGGGGCCCTTCAGGGCACCCTCCAGCTTGGGGACAGACACGTCCACACCACCCTTCACTTTGGGGCCCTTCAGGTTCAAGTCAATGTCGGGCATGGAGATCTTGGGCGCCTTGAAGTGCATCTCGGGCATCTTAAATTTGGGACCCTCCAGAAACATCCAGGTTTCCTGTGGGCCGGTTCACGTCCACCTCTGGGCCTACTCCTTTCAGCCCCGGCATCCCGAATTTGGGCATCTTGAACTTGGGCATTTTGAATTTTCCCTCTGGGCCGTGAATGTCTACATCGGGTGCCTCAATGTCGACTTTGGGACCTTTGATGTCCACCTCGGGGCCCTTCAGGGCACCCTCCAGCTTGGGGACAGACACGTCCACACCACCCTTCACTTTGGGGCCCTTCAGGTTCAAGTCAATGTCGGGCATGGAGATCTTGGGCGCCTTGAAGTGCATCTCGGGCATCTTAAATTTGGGACCCTCCAGAAACATCCAGGTTTCCTGTGGGCCGGTTCACGTCCACCTCTGGGCCTACTCCTTTCAGCCCCGGCATCCCGAATTTGGGCATCTTGAACTTGGGCATTTTGAATTTTCCCTCTGGGCCGTGAATGTCTACATCGGGTGCCTCAATGTCGACTTTGGGACCTTTGATGTCCACCTCGGGGCCCTTCAGGGCACCCTCCAGCTTGGGGACAGACACGTCCACACCACCCTTCACTTTGGGGCCCTTCAGGTTCAAGTCAATGTCGGGCATGGAGATCTTGGGCGCCTTGAAGTGCATCTCGGGCATCTTAAATTTGGGACCCTCCAGAAACATCCAGGTTTCCTGTGGGCCGGTTCACGTCCACCTCTGGGCCTACTCCTTTCAGCCCCGGCATCCCGAATTTGGGCATCTTGAACTTGGGCATTTTGAATTTTCCCTCTGGGCCGTGAATGTCTACATCGGGTGCCTCAATGTCGACTTTGGGACCTTTGATGTCCACCTCGGGGCCCTTCAGGGCACCCTCCAGCTTGGGGACAGACACGTCCACACCACCCTTCACTTTGGGGCCCTTCAGGTTCAAGTCAATGTCGGGCATGGAGATCTTGGGCGCCTTGAAGTGCATCTCGGGCATCTTAAATTTGGGACCCTCCAGAAACATCCAGGTTTCCTGTGGGCCGGTTCACGTCCACCTCTGGGCCTACTCCTTTCAGCCCCGGCATCCCGAATTTGGGCATCTTGAACTTGGGCATTTTGAATTTTCCCTCTGGGCCGTGAATGTCTACATCGGGTGCCTCAATGTCGACTTTGGGACCTTTGATGTCCACCTCGGGGCCCTTCAGGGCACCCTCCAGCTTGGGGACAGACACGTCCACACCACCCTTCACTTTGGGGCCCTTCAGGTTCAAGTCAATGTCGGGCATGGAGATCTTGGGCGCCTTGAAGTGCATCTCGGGCATCTTAAATTTGGGACCCTCCAGAAACATCCAGGTTTCCTGTGGGCCGGTTCACGTCCACCTCTGGGCCTACTCCTTTCAGCCCCGGCATCCCGAATTTGGGCATCTTGAACTTGGGCATTTTGAATTTTCCCTCTGGGCCGTGAATGTCTACATCGGGTGCCTCAATGTCGACTTTGGGACCTTTGATGTCCACCTCGGGGCCCTTCAGGGCACCCTCCAGCTTGGGGACAGACACGTCCACACCACCCTTCACTTTGGGGCCCTTCAGGTTCAAGTCAATGTCGGGCATGGAGATCTTGGGCGCCTTGAAGTGCATCTCGGGCATCTTAAATTTGGGACCCTTTACCTTGCCTTCTGGACATTCTAGCTCAACATCTGGCGCCTCTATGTCCACTTTCGGAGCTTTTACTGTAACCTCCGGCCCTTTGAGGTCACCTTCTAACTTGGGAATGGAGACATCCACGTCCCCCTTTCCTTTGGGGCCTTTCAGGTTGAGATCAAAGTCGGGCATGGAGATCTTGGGAGCCTTAAAATGCATCTCGGGCATCTTAAATTTGGGGCCTTTCACCTTCCCCTCTGGGACCTCAAAATCCACATCGGGAGCGTCTATGTCCAGTTTAGGACCTTTGATGTCTATCTCGGGGCCTTTCAAGTCGCCCTCTAGTTTGGGGGCAGAAACATCCACGTCTCCCTTCACCTTCGGACCCTTCAGGTTCAGATCTATGTCGGGCATGGAGATTTTTGGTGTCTTGAAGTGCATCTCGGGCATCTTGAACTTGGGGCCTTTAACCTTTGCTTCTGGACACTCTAGGTCAACGTCGGGAACATTAACATCCAGTTTAGGGCCTTTGATGTCAACGTCCGGCCCTGTCAAATCACCCTCAATTTTGGGGAGAGAAACGTCCACATCCCCCTTCCCTTTGGGGCCTTTGAGGTTGAGATCAAAGTCGGGCATGGAGATCTTGGGGGCTTTGAAATGCATGTCGGGCATCTTAAATTTGGGACCCTTTACCTTGCCTTCGGGGCCTTCAAGGTCAACGTCAGGAACGTCTATGTCCACTTTGGGCCCTTTAAGTTCCAGATCCGGCACTTTCACATCGCCCTCTATTTTCGGCACAGAAACGTCCATTTCTCCTTTCACTTTGGGACCTTTCAAGTTGAGGTCTACATCAGGCATAGAAAGTTTCGGTGCTTTAATGTGCATATCCGGCATTTTTATCTTGGGTCCTTTCCATTTTCCCTCAGGACCTTCAACATCAATATCAGGAACATCGACATCCAACTTCGGACCTTTAATGTTCACATCGGGTCCTTTCAAGTCACCCTCTAATTTTGGCACAGAAACGTCAGCCCCTCCCTTCACTTTGGGGCCTTTCAGGTTCAAGTCAATGTCAGGCATGGAGATCTTGGGGGCTTTGATGTGCATATCGGGCATCTTAAATTTGGGACCTTTAACTTTTCCTTCAGGACATTCAATGTCCGCACTGGGCAACTCGATATCTACCTTTGGGACAGAAACATCAATGTCCGCTTTTGGGAGGTTGACATCAACTTCAGGGCCTTCTCCTTTCAGCCCCGGCATGCCAAATTTGGGCATCTTGAACTTGGGCATTTTGAATTTTCCCTCTGGGCCGTGAATGTCCACGTCAGGTGCCTCAATGTCAACTTTGGGACCCTTGATGTCAACCTCAGGACCCTTCAGGTCACCCTCCAGCTTGGGGACAGACACGTCCACATCCCCCTTCACTTTGGGGCCCTTCAGATTGAAGTCGACGTCGGGCATGGAGAACTTGGGGGCCTTGATGTGCATGTCCGGCATCTTGAACTTGGGGCCCTTCAGCTTCCCCTCTGGCCCTTCCAGCTCAACGTCAGGAAGGTCAACATCGACCTTGGGGCCTTTGATATCAATTTCGGGGCCCTTCAGGTC